TCAGGAGTCTCCACCCACGGACCACAGAGAGGTACCCTGGGCCAAGCTGAGGGCTATGATGCTTTTCTTATATCCTGGCCTCCCCCTTCCCTCCCCTGGGGCCCAAACTCATAGGGACCCCTGCCCTCCCCCCAAGAGAACCACAGGCCAGCAACCTCAGGCCCCTGTGGCCCCTTAACCAAGTGCTGTGCTTCAAGCAGTGCCCCCTGCCCTGAGCCCCAACTTGCCCATGGGCAGCCCCAGTGTGGGCAGGAGGCAGCTACTGGGGGTTCTTGAGGATGCGGCCGTGGCGGAAGTCATAGACATGGCGGCAAAGAAACACCAGCTCAGGGTCCGTATCTTCCGGCACTGTGCGGTGTGGTGGGGTGGAGTAGTCCGCAGAGGGGGGCACCAGTGCTGTCTTTCGGCTGGGGAGGCCCTCACCTCGGCGCTTGGCCATGGCACAGAATCTGCGACGACATACCGTCCACTGTCTTTATCAAAACCACCTTTGCAGGAATTCCAATTCCTTCTCTGGACAGGTCCAGAGAGTGAGAATGTCTCGTCTCCTCCTATCCCTGCAACGGCTTGTGTTGCCTCCGTCCCTGTCCTAGGGGTTACACCCTCTCTGCCAACTGCCAGTTTACCTTCTCTGTCACTGGGGAACCACACCTGCTAGAGCCTCCCTCTTGACCACCTGCCAATTCTTGATTTTCTCCAAGAGCAGTACAATAACCCCGACTCTGCCCAACCATTCTACCTCAGACAGGCAACAATTTTTTTTCTTCTAAAAAAATCAAATGGTAAAAGTAGGCTGTAAGGAAAAAAGTTCTGGGAGGTAAGGCTCAGTAAGATCCCTTTGAGGGTCACAGGCAGCCCACAAACAGCCCTGGGGGGTCTGAGGGGAGAGGCTAGCCAGAGGCACAGGGCACCACCCACCTGCAGTATTCAGCAAAGGTCAGCACGTAGCATTTTTCCTCAATGCAGGCCACACTGTTCTGGTCCTGATGTCTTGATGCAAAGACTTCATTCTGCAAAGGCTCAAAGGCACGGAGCAGGAGGAGATCAGTTACCAAGGTTAGAAACATCTAACTCCAGGAACAAGGTGGACATTAACCCCCCTGAGACTCCTGACCTAACTCCAACTAGTGCTTAGAAAGCCAGGGAGCTTCCCAGAAATGTGAGTCTAACTGCTTGCCACCTGTCACCCCAAGGCATTCCTCCCAGGTTCCATGCTACTCTGGAGAAGCCAGGTGCCTCCTCCAGCCGGTCATTAGTTTCCTGACCCCCACCCCTGCCTGCCCAGCCAGCCCAGGGGAGGAGAGAAGAGTTGATCAAAGTCTACTGGAAAGTCCCAGTGAGGGAAACCAGAGTAAAAGGGAGTCCGGACTGGGGAGAAGGGACCACACCCTGGGGGCATTACTACTCTTAGCACACCACTGGGTAGAGTACTAAGAGGTATTAGGAGTCCTTTTCCATCTCCCTCTCGTGCTGCAGACATTATCAAAGGGGACTCGGTGTGCAGCTTCACCTCCCCTTTCCTGTCACCAGGAGGATACATCTACTTGCTCCCATTCTGGCAGCCCCTGCCCTCAAAGGCTCCTTTTTTGCCCCCCTTTCAAGACTGAGTACTATTTCCTTTGAAACATGAACCAGGGCACGGTTGGGAAAAGAGGCTGAAACCTCTTCTCCAGGCCCTTCTCCAGGCTCTCTGACATCACAGTCTAGGGACTTGACTGCCCATAGCTGCCCTTCCCAAACCACCTTCTTATGCCACGACCTCACCTCTCTGCCACCCCTGCATTCCCCTACCCATTTGCCAGGCAGCTCACCTCGTGCATGCTGGGACTGCGGCCTCCCTGTAAGTGCTCTGGTCTGTAATACCACAGAAGACTCATCATCAGCTCTCCTGGGGGTCAAGAGAAGCAATCATGACTTGAGCTGGCAACCCCAGAGTTACTTAGGCAGGCAAGTTGGCCACCTGCCCTGGAGGCTCATCCATCTCTAATGCTGGGCCAATCCTGCAGGTTCCAACCACCCGAGTCCTCTGTCTCGGGCCAAGCCTGGCATTCTGTGGCCTGGAATGCTATTAAGCATGGAGGAAGAAGAGGGGAAAAGCACTGACAGGTGAGGAAGGGGGACAGGTGTCCAGGTCCTTGTGACTGGAAAGGTTAATGAGCTGATGCAATCCAGTTACAAGGCCGCCTGCTGCCCTCCGCAAAAGATAGACCCTGGCTAAGTAGAAGACAGACTGTGCCAAGAACAGTGCCAGGTCAGACTTCAGACAGGGGGTACCTGATTCGGGGTTCTCCCAGAGAGCAGAGATCTTGGCCACATAAGGTGTGGATGTCTTTCGTGGGCCTGACTTGAGGAGGACGGTATCCCGAACTCGGATGGTCTCTCCATGCCGCTCTACTGCCTGGTAGCTCTTTCGGATGGCTGGTTCCGGTTCATCCTGAGCAACAAACCAATGATACAAACAGGCTTGTAAGGCCCCACTCAAAATGAAGATGGAGGGAGGGAACAAATGACACCCTCTCTCTATTTTCCTCAGGGCAATAAAAACCACTACGGATGGGAAACTGCAGAAGGAATTTACATGTTGGCCCCTTCTCCCTAAGCCTGGCTTTCAGGGGCATGATGGGATGGGGGTCCTCATGGTTGGAGAAAGGATAAGAAATGGGAACAAGGGTGGGAAAGTGGCCCAAAGCTTCTTGGGCTGCATTCTTGACCACCATACCCCAACAGCTGGCTCTCTCACTCCGAACTCTCAACACTGGGGAGGTCCTCAGGCTTCCTAATGGGACAGTCTAGGTTTGACCCTTAAATCACCACTGCCAAGTGGCATAGCCTTGGGCAAATTACTTAATCTAAGCCTCAGTTTCCTCATCTGTGAATTGAGGATAATTACAGGAACACAGGGTACATACCTCATAGGGTAGTGGTGAGGATGAAAGCAGATAATGCATGCAAAGTGCTTAGCTTGCTTCTGACACCTAAGAAGTGCTCAATAAATTTTAGTTGACATTCTTTTCATCATCCCAGATGGTTCTGTATCACTGATTTTCTCTGCCTAATCTCAATTTCCCCTATACAAATTTATCCAAAAAGCCTCCACAAAAGTCCATTTTATAATCCAGGACAGAAGGAACAGCATGAGAAGGAATGAGAGATGAAGACACTTCAGAGAGCCCCTCTGAGTGTCAGTGACAGAGATGGTAGCCACCAGCTGTAACTGTATGCGTGCCCTGACCTCCCCAAGGTGGACAGTATAGGATCAGTAGGGGCTGGGGGAGCAGGCTGGGCCAGCATACTTGGTTCCTGGAGCACAAATGAACTGGAGCCCCTTGTCACTTCGCAGTATAGCTAGAGCTGGGGTTCCTGGGATCCGCATATCTCACTACAGGTCCTATGTCCTCAATGCCACACCCATTCTACCCATCAGCTAAGAGCTGACACTCACCAAGACATAGACAGCCTTTTCACAAGCAGCTCCAACAGGAACCCAACCATTAGTGCGGCGGCGTCGACGGCGGCGAGGGCGTGGGCGCTGGACACGTGGTTGCTTGGGGTGACTTGGCCTGCGGGCAGCCTTGCTCCTCACAGTGTGCCTACAGCTGGAACCTGTACGCAGACCTGACTTGGAGCCACTAGGAGGCTTGGCGCTCTGAGGGCATGCACGGGCTACTGTCTGGGGCTCCGAGGTGGGTGTCTGAAGATGAGGGACAGGCTCTGCTGCAGGTGGCACGCTGGGCACAGGGCACCCCAGGAGGGGGTGGGCAGGTGAGGCTGGGTGGCCAGCTTCCGGGAGAGGAAATTCCAGCTGGCCCAGGGACCTGCAGCCTTCTGGAAAAAGGAGAGAGGGAGTCAGGGCAGATAAGGACAAACAGTAACCTCCCCCAAGCTCTTCAGAGTCTGCTCCTAATTCTAAGTGGCAGGTGGGTCAGATTGGGGGCCTTTAAGGTGGACCATCAGAGTGACTAGCCAAGGGTGTTTCTTGACCTTGGAGACTGGCTCACAGACATCTCCATTTCTCTTTCTAGCTTGAAAGAAGGGGGTGGGTAATGGGAACAGCTTCTCTAGCTTTGATTTAACCTTCTCCAAGGCTTCCATAGTGCTTAGGAGCAGGGGAGCTGGAATCAGACAGCCGAGGATATGATTCCCAGACCTGACACTGATTCGCTATGTAACATCAGGCCAAGTTACTTTACCTTTCGGCGCTTTGCAATGGAAATAGTAGTTGCAACTATCATGTAGTCTGTCCTGAGTTTTGTTTTGTTTTTTTTTTAAATTGGTGCATTAACTCATCTCAACCTTATAACAACCCTATTCCCGTTTTACAATTAAGAAAAATGAGACATGTAGTAGTTACTGGCTTGTCCCACAGTCACGTGGCTAGGGAAGTGGAGAACATTTCGCTCCAAGCAGTTTGGTTCTACAGTCTATGCTCAATTACATGCCATGTGGGCTCCCATATGTGAAGTGCTTTAGAACAGTGCCTAGCACATGGTGTTTACTGGTGTAAACACCAGGGGCAAGTGGGTAAGAGTCTTGGATCTCACAGGTTATGTGTCTAGATTTGGAGAGTGATACAAAAGAGGAGGAAAAGCCCAGGAAGAAGCCTGTTCTCATTTCCTAGAGCTCCAACTCACGCCAGAATCTGAAAACCAGTCTGGCCAGTCAACTGGTCTATAAAGTTGTTTTATAGACCCCTATAAGGAGGACTGTGGGGGAGGGGAGAGCCCTGGGAAGGCCTGGCCCCTCATTTCACCACAAGCAAGGCAGATTTGCCGACCAGGATGGCTCTGGTCACCTCATTTCTACCAGGAAGCCTAGAAGGGAGCCCAAAGAGGCATGTGAGGACACTCCTGCCAATTTGGGAGTACAGCACAAGCCTCTCAGGTGTCTAGGTCTTGCCAGGAAGGCGGACACCAAAGCCACAGGCCCTGAGAGCACCGTCTGTGCCAGGGAACTCTGTCTGTTCTCAGAGTGTACCCACCCCATCCACCCCTAGCAAAGTGATGCTAACTCTGGGCACTACTTCTCTTTCAAAGCCTGTATGGCCAGGAAGCAGCAGTCCTACTACAGCTGGCACCAGCTACTGGATCTGGTAACCCCCCCACTCATTCCCATGAATGCTTACCTTTTGCCAGTATGCAGATGGTCTGGGCTCCTGAAAGTAAGGAATTCTAGCTTTCCTTGAGGAGGGCAGAAGGGACATGGGAAGATCTTGGCAAAAACCCTAATTTCAATATCTAACTTACTACTCAACAGTCTAAGACTGGGCACGGCATCCCAATGGAGAGAAACAAACAGCCTTCCCTACCCCTTCTACTACCATAATGCTACCTACCTATCTACCTGCCAGGCCAAGAAAACTCCACAGACAGCAGGAACAGAACAGGGCTGTTAAGAGCTAAACATGGGCCCACTTCCTGGGAGTGCTCCTAGGCCTGGGGTACAAAATGAGGGGAGTCCTCCCCTCTCAAAGCCCCCTACCTTCTCTGCAGTACCTAAACCCCAAGGAGCCTCACCTTGTTCCACGACCCAACCTCTTAGAACACCATGTCTCAGAGACTCCCTGGTACATCCCACCCCCAGGAAGGCTTACCTGCTGCAAAAGGCATTTTGTAGGAACAGCCGCCACAGGTAGTGCCGATGTGGGTAAGAGAAGGGGGTAACATTTCACAGATGCTGTAGCCATTCACTCCAGCTTCCCCACTGGAGCAGTAGCGAGAGCTCCAAGGAGGGTGCTGGAAAGGGGTGCCTGTGGGCACTGGTCTCGGGGCCAAGAGGAGCCCTTCGGTAGGTGCCACCACTGGGGACAGCTTACCCTCAGGGAGCATGGGGCAGGGAGAATAGCCCCCACACTGCAGCCCATCTTGGCAGTATAGGTAGACGCTGCCTAGTGCAGTGAGCTCAGGCCGACCACACAGGCCACTGTAGTCGGCAGGGTTGCCAGGCATCGGCAGGAGGGACAGCTGGGGTGTGGGAAAAGAGGGTTGATGCAGTTCCTGCTTGGGGGCAGGTGACTCCTCTCCTGGGCGCCCAGGCTCCGGCTTCAGGGCTGCTTGCCCACCCATCAGCAGAGGCAGATGGGGGCGTAGACCCAAGGGGCTCTCCAGAGCCTGGCTCAGAGGCTGCCGGTAAGGTGGCTGGCTGGATGGCCCACGAGGGGTGGCGGATAGCCATGGCTCCTCGGGGCACCCTTGCCAGCCTAGCGGACCTAGAGCCTCCCCGGAGTTGGGCCCCTGCCGAACCTTGGGATAGTTCTTGCCATTGACCTTGGCCCACTTTGGCCTCGGGGCCTTCAGTGTTGGTGGCTCAGTGGAGCGCCCATCTACTTCTGGGTGGGCACGAGGTGGCCGCAGGGGTAGCTCCCGCTCCTGGCTCAGCTTTAGGAAAGCAGCTGCATTCAGGCTGGCCAGTCTCTTGGGAGCTAGGTCACCATCTCGACGGCTACCTTCATCTGGTGCTGGCTCTGGGGACAGGTCCCGACTTCCTCCGCCGAGGTCCCTCAGCCGGGGCCGTTTCTTGGAGGAAGACCAGCCCCCAGTGGCCCGGTCACGGTCCCGGCTGCGGTGGGGGTCTCCCCCTCGGCTACGTCGGCTGCCCACCAGGCTGCTCGTGTCCTCCCGCTCCAGCAGCAAGTTATTAAGGGCCTCGGCGTTTAGGGAGGCCAGGCGCCGCTTGCGGGGCTGGGTGAGGCCAGTGTCTTCACTGGAAGGGGCTGGGCTAGGGGACTTGGGCAGGTCAGGGGGCAGCTCATCAGCTTCATCTGCACTCCGTGGTCCGGCCACATTCTCCAGGCGGGTCAGCAGCACTTTGCAGGCCTTGGGCTTCTCAGGAACCAAGGGGCGCTTACGCAGAGGGTAGTTCTTGCGGCGCCCTGTGAGGTGCCCTGGGCTCTCAGGCATTACTGGCTCCATACCTTCCGCCTCCTGCTCCATGCTGTTGCCTTCCATCTGCAGGGGCTCCTGGCGGCCAGTGGGGCCAGAACTCAACATGGGAAGGGACTTCCTCCGAGTGTGTGTCATGGATTATAGCCAATCTGTAAGACAGAAGGCAGGTAATGAGAGAAGCTCACTCTGCCTGCTTTCTCCCCGACTGCAGCCCATCCAGCCCTACCTGTAGTATCTCTGGCCTATCTTCATCCCATCTCCAGCCTGGATTTTCTTGGGAGTGCAAAGGTCCAATGGGGTCAGGGTACTGGCAGCTGTGTAAGGACTAACTGCCTTGCTCTTCTTTTAGCCTAGGGCCCCTTGAACTAAAGCTTTAGAGAGCCTAAAGAGCAATGCAGACCCCAAGGTCAGAAGACAGAAGAAGCTGGGGGTAAAACTCTTGGTTCTCTCTTGCTGTTCTTCTCCCACTACATACTCATCACGGGCCGGGAGGAGGCTCTGAAGACACCCAGCCAGAACGGGGGCTCGGGTGGTGGGAGCCTATTTATTCCTTCAAAAATATTACCAACCCTCCTCCCTCATCTTGCGGCTTCTGAGATTGGCCACAGGATGAAAGGAGGACAGTATGGAGGTGAGATGAGGAACCTGCCTGTTGGGCTGCAGAGGAGGCAAAGTCCAGCCTGTGATGACGACCTGCCCAGCATGTACAGCAGGACAGTTATACCTGGGACTTGCTAGAAAAGACCCAGAAGGGTGAAGGCCTGGCTTTGAGGAGCCCGTGGTCAAAGGAGGTCTCAGCCAGGGCTAGGAGCCAGACCCAGCTTTATGCATGGGATTCCAGAAGAGGGCAGCCTAAATAGTGCCAGTGCCTGGGGAAGGGATGTAGGTAAAGCTGGGGCTAGCATTTCTGGATAGGAAACCCAGGGGCCCTACACTACATGAGGTACATCTTTAACGTCCCACCAGCCACAAAGAGTTGGGAAAAGGAAATATAAGAGAGAAGAACTCGGGCCTAACCAGGGGCTGCCTTGTTAGTCCTGCTCTATTCCTCAGGTCTCCCTCTTAGTAGGCAATAATTCCAGGCAGGAGCCAGAATGGCAGCGGTGCTAGGAAACCCAGAGCCCCTGACAGAAAATGCTCATAACCAGGCATCATCCCCTACTTTGCATCCCGCCCCTGCCACACACAAACCACCAACATACACCTGGGGTGCCTGCCCTTTACCTCTTCCCCATCCTGAATGAGAGAGGCCAGAGCTGGCTGTATGCTAGAAGCTGATATAGCCAAGGCAGTGATGAACTGGGGGTGGGGTAGATTGGTGGCCAGAGACTACTGAGCTATTCACTCTACCTACCCTACCACCCAAAGCAAGGTGCTGCCAAATAAGGTACCAGAGGTGGTTGGTACCCTGTGGACCACCCCCCACCCCCAAGCAGGCCCAGGCTTTCCAGCTTAATTTCCCCACTGCTATTGTTATTCACACTCACTTTACCCAAGGAGCCGAGAGCAGTCCTGCTGGGCCAGGTTTAACCCTGAAAATCCCAGGCCTGAGGGCTCCCAGGGATTCCAGAGCCCTTCCCAGCTAGGTCCTGTGGCCTTGGGCCAGTGGCTGGGGTCACTGGCTACGTTCTTTCCTGAGACGTGCTGCAATAGTTGAGACAGAATGCTCAGAAAACCAGGATGAGGGCAGTGTGGGTGTCCCTCACTCCTGAGAGGGGACGTGGAAAACTGGAAAAGGGAGGCAGCGTGCCAGGCGTTGCTCTGGCCTCTGGCCCCATGCAGGGACCTGCCACTACCCAGAGACCAGGCCCCAGGCAAGACACAGAGTCACAGAAGGTAAATCCATTCATTCCTAAAGCACAGAGAGAACTCCTAAAAAATCCCAGGCATCTGCTAGGTTCCCTAAGATTCCAGCTTCTAATCAAGGTGACCACCCATCCCTGCTTGCTCAGCATACTAATGAGCAATGCATCCTTTCACTCTCAAAAGCATCCCAGTTGCTTACAACCCACAGGCCCTTTTCTCAAATGCAGGGCACCCCTGTGCTGGAGGTGGAGGAGCAGCGACAAGAATCCTATCTGTACTTCCTAGGAAAGCCTAGGCCCAGACCTTCCCCAAAGGGCCTGAAGATGGAGAAGAGTGAACAGATCACACAGCTGAGCAGAGGTCAAAGCCCCTCGACAGGCCCCAAGCTATCAGGAGTCAGGCGTAGGAATGGCTGGAGGCCAAGGCTGAGATCACCTGGGCTTGTGGCCTTTAAGGACACAGGAACAGAACAAGGAGGGGGTGGACAGGGAAAAGAGGTTTCCGGCCCAGTAAGTAAAAGCGCAAAAGAGCTCTTAGCTTGGGTTGACTGGCCTGCTCCCCTGCACACAGTTTTCTAGTGGACTAGCTTCATGGATGGATGGTCCTGGGATTCTGGAACACTTGCCCCCTACTCAGTCCTTCCCTCAAAACATGCAGAAGGTCTCAAGCAGGAAGAGGTTGAGAGGGGAGCCTTCTACTTTCAGAAGCTTGGCTTGAGAACCTGGGAATTTGTTCCCAGTGGAGTATCTCTCTTTCATCTCCCATTCAGCCCTCCAGTCCCTCAGGGACACTCACTGGCCCTGGGCTGATGAAGTGACTATCCAGCTGACTCTCAGGGAAGCCTCTAAATCACAGAGGGCGAGTCACATTTTCAAATCAGGCGTTAAGAGCCTCCTGCTTGTCTCCCCAGACTCTGCCAAATCCTACCACCCGCCAAATACACCCAAGGCCATCAGAAGCCCATTGCAAAACAACTCATAGCTTTAATGTGGTGCCTAAGGCAACAGTCACTTACCAACCTGAGAAGAGGCTAGGGGCTCTGCTGCCTGCCTCACTACACTCCAAACTGAGGAGAGCAAGTGTTGAGTCATGCTTTGAAGATAGACATGTGAGAACCTCTGTTGCAGCTTTTCCACCCAGGGTGGGGCTGAGTGGAGAGGGGGCTCCCAGCCTGTCGGAGGAGGCCCAGCTCCTTGGGGAAAGAAGATCCTGGAAAGCAGTAGGCTTGGTTCCCATACCAGCTTTGCCAGTCCTCCTGCTATCCTGTCCCTCCCATTTATACACCAGCTCAACCAAGAACTTCTACCACTGCCAAGAAACAAGGGTGCCTGGGTTCTCTCAGCATTACCCTCTTCTTCTCTGGGATCCCCTGTCCTCCCAGGCACAGGTAGACCTGGCCCCCTCAGGAGAAGGTTCCTAGGAGGGATTCCCCAGGGAATATTACTGCCATGGAGGATAGTGGCACTGGTGGTTTCTCCAGGCCAAAGACCAGCAAATTACATGTTGAATCCAAAATCCCAAGTGTACTCTAAAGACAGTCAACAGGTCATCTCAGCCCCCAGGCACATCGGGTCTCAAAATCAAGTTGGAGATCAGGTCCAGCAAGAGTGCTAAGGCAGGGTCTAGGCTTCGGTGCAGCCTCAGCCTGCCCAGGGATAGGGGAAGTTATCTCCACAGAAGTAGAAAGGGAGGGAGGACTTGTCTTTTTACCCTTCAAGCTGCAGCGGCACTGTGTACCTCCACCTCTACCAGCACAGGTGGAGCATACCCAAGGTACTGCGTGCAAGGGAGGGTCAGAGGCCTGAAAAAGTGTGGGCACCACTGAGGAAAACCAGGGTGAGGCCTGGGCAGGCAGGTCAAGCCCAGATCTCTCCGCAAGCAGAAGATGGCCTTAGCCTTGGCCACTGCTCTCCTCTTATGCATCCAGCTCTAGGCCACATTCCCCCACCTCCAGACTCAGGGATCCTACTGCCCTTCTTAAAACCTCTCTTACACACTGCATTTTAAATTTTGCTTTTCAGGCTTTCTGGTTTATTTTAATTGGAGGGGAATATTCGGGAAGTCTTAGGTAAGGAGAGACCTGATGGTCACCTGGGTGAGGGCCAAGAAGGGCCCTGACCCAAGCCACTTTGCCACACAACTGGCACTGAGTTAAACACCGCCCTCCTCTGCAAATCTCTCTTGGAATAACCTCCCTCCCTCCTCCTCTGAAGGAATAATACTTTCTCATGAGCACTGACTTTCTTGAATCTTCTATCAGAGAAAAAAAGCAAGAGCACAAAGGCAGGCGCCTGCCCACTTAAATTTAGTTGATAAAATTTCATGGGAAAACAAAGAGGTGAAGCTGCTGAGATTCTTATGATAATGCCCAATAAAGAAATGTAGCTGTATCTCTTGAATCTCCAAGAGCTGTTAAGCAGAAAGAACCAAAGCTCTGAGTCAGGCAGACATGAATTTAAATGCCAGCCCTGCCCTCATGGCAACTTACTTAACTTCTCTAAACTTCAGATTCCTTATCTAAAATGGATGTATCGAAGTGAACTTTCCTTAAGAGTGGTGGTAAGGATGACAGAATCACTGTTCAGGAAGAGCCTAGCAGGTTAAGAGTCAGGGGCGCAAACATCACTCCTCTATTCCAGACCCACAGACAGATGCAGGCAGCCTGTCTTCCTCCTGGGCAGTTCTCCTACAGTAGGAGCCCAGAGTGGCTGGGAAGCCAGCTTCTGCTGTGAGAAATCTGAAAACCCGGACTGCGCCTGAACTCTGCTCTGCTACCAGTCCACCGAAAACACCCAAGTGTCAACCCCAGGGAAAGGTGGAGACGCTGCTCCTTTGCCGTGCAGGACCCAGTGTGAGGTGTTCAGTATACAACGCGGTGAGAAGGCAGGGACAGAAACAGTATCCCAAAAGACCCGAAATAGCAGCTCCATGCCTCTAAGAAACACTCAACTCTACAGTGAAAAGTGAACTCCTCAGATGCTAAAGGCCTAGAGGATGGGGTCAGAGGGCTTATGTTCTGCCTGTTTCGGCCATCTGACTGCTGCTTCCCTGCAGCCCCCACCCCCCACCCCCAGAAGTCCCGGTCAGCACCAGCACAACTCAGAGCTCAAGCCCTGGGGCACTGCCCCACCTCCATGATGCCCATTCAAACTCATTCAGTGGAGGTTCTCCATTCAACTCCACAATTAGGCTGGGATCCTACAAACGGAAGCATGGGGCACCCAACCAAAGGGAACTGACTTGATTCTTCTGAACACAGCTTGTTTTATAGACTGCCCTCAGGACTGGCAGCCATTTGAGGAGGGGGGTGTACCCCCAGAAGGCACCAAGTCTACCTTCGGCC